GGCCCCGACAACTGCCATTAGGGTATAAGAAGTTTTGTGTAATGCCACGTGGAGCATGTTCAGACTTTTTTCGCCCAGTGCAACGCACGGGCATTTGTACTAGTAAAAACTTAAACTTAATATAGGAGAGTCGATGCAAAAAAGATTGGTACAGGGGTTCGAACCAGCATTAGGAAAGAGTTCGGATGCTATACAAATTGTGCCATCATATTCTTGGACTATACGTTGCCATTAGGAAAGAGTTCGGATGCTATACAAATTGTGCTATAATATTCTTGGACTATACGCCTGGGCGTGTGTGACTATATCTGCAGGGGTTTTTTTTTTGAGGGAGACCATATATGTAGGTTAGTTATTTCTTCCCGGGGCATATGTGATTCGATCTGATCGTCTTCTCGGCTCTAGTTAGCGCCGCTTCGCGACAGGGAGAAGCAGGACGGTGATAGCCGAAGCACAGCACAGATCAGTTCCGGCTGGCTGTTGCCAATTCCAAGTAAGTGCATCCACTCCCCTGCATGTGGATCCATCCGGCCACCATATCGTACAATGCGTTACAGCGCCGCCGCATCGCACCGGCTACCAGACCGCGCCTCCGCCTCTCCCTCTTATCTCCGCTCTTCCACCACAGGCATCGCATTTGCTCGTTGACGACGGGGACAACATCGCTCGTCCCCAACCTGTCCCCAACTGGCCACCGTGCCATCACCACCTGTGCTCAGAGTTTGCAGTCTATCCATCACCTAACGAAGGGGCAGAGTTTAGACAGTGCTCCCGGCTTGGCCCCAACTCCCAAAGCATCATTCCATCCGACCCCTGCAAGGAAAAGGTAAATTGTGTGAACGATTGAACTGTTACTTCTGTTGTTGTATTGTCTGTACGAATATTAGATGTAGCATAGATAGATGCATGGTTTTGCAATGACAGTGAGCATATATATGTTTGTGTACAAGACACGCACAAGTCTGTGGTGTTTGGAAACCAAGCATATATGCTGTACTTAGGAAAGACAATGTGAAGGAGGTTTTGTTTTACTAAATTCATTGCCTGAGTAGATGTTCTCATCAATCTTGAAAGGGTTAAATTTGTGCCCATTTTGTTGTTTCAGTTTGGTAGTGGGTTCACTAGTTGTGTTAGTAGTAGATTTTGCTTCAATGCGGTGTAAGCATAATTTTGTTAACGGTAAACTATTTTGTTGTAGTGCAATGGATCGAAGCTGGATACAAGGAACGCGTTTCACACCACCATACATGAAAGGTGTCAAAGAGTTTATGGGTTTCATTCGCCAAAATTTTAGGGAAAATCAGGACATATTGTGCCCATGCAAGGACTGTCTGAATGTGGAACACCGCAGCCAAGCTGAAGTAGAGGAGCACATACTATGCAATGGTATGTCCGTTACATATACAAGGTGGGTCTTTCATGGTGAAGCGGTGAGTGATGATGAAGGTGATAATACAGACGGTGCTGCATATCAATCATATGATGATGATGATGACCGTGATGTAGCCAACGGAGGTGATGTTGCGTATATGGTAGATGATATGTTCATGTCTGGAAGGCAAGGCAAGGATAAGCCTAACCTCTTTTCCAAGCTAATGGATGAAGCGAAGAAAGATCTTTATGAAGGATGTAGTGATTTCACACGGTTGTCGTTCATTATAAAGCTCCTCCATATCAAATCATACAACCGGATTACAAATAGAGCATTTAATCAGTTTGTTGAGCTGATTAGTGTGGCGTTTCCACATGCTGATATACCTAAATCATACACTGAATCTAAGAATGTTCTTAGTGAAGTCGGGTTGGGTTATGAGACAATTCATGTTTGCAAGTTTGATTGTGCATTGTTTTGGGGCCAACATGCCAACAAGAGCCATTGTCCTGAATGCGGGACATCAAGATGGAAAGACGAGGTGGGGAGGAAAAAGATACCTCACAAGGTACTTAGGTACTTTCCTATCATCCCAAGGCTTCAAAGATTTTTTGTGTCAAAGGAACAATCAGCAGATGCAAGGTGGCATAAGGAGAAGAGGGTTGCTAAGGCAAATGTTATGAGACACCCTGCTGATGGTGAAGCATGGAAGCATTTTGATAGTGTGTTCGGTTGGTTTGCTAAGGATGCCCGTAATATGAAGCTTGGTATTGCCACGGATGGATCCAACCCCTTTGGAAACATGACGAGTTCATATAGTATGTGGCCTGTTTTTATCATCCCCTACAACTTCCCACCCTGGATGTGCATGGACCAATCTAATTTCATGATGTCTTTGCTTATTCCTGGGAGAAAAGCACCTGGAAAGGAGTTCCATGTATTTATGCAACCGCTGATTGCAGATATGATGAAGCTTTGGGTAACTGGTGTGGAAACATATGATGCATTGACGGGGGAACCATTTAATTTGCATGCAGCATTCTTGTGGTCGACTCATGATTACCCTGGACTGGCCACTTTATCGGGTCGTAGCACAAGAGGTTATCATGCATGTGTGCACTGTGATGTGGAGCCTTGCTCTGAGCCATTGAAAAATAAAATTGGGTTTGTTGGGCACCGGAGATTTCTGCCTACTAATCATCCTTACAGAAGAAGCAAACTTTTCAACGGGAAGACTGAGAATAGAGGGAAACCCCGGAAGTTCACAAATAAAGAAGTGGTGGACAAGTTAGAAAAACTTGTTTTCAAACCAGGCAAGTATCCAGGAAATAAGAGGAAGCGCCCTGAGAAAGGCGAACCAAACTGGAGTCAAAAGGTGAGTTTGTATGATCTGCCATATTGGTCGAAACTGAAATTAGCGTACAACCTTGATGTAATGCACATTGAGAAGAACATATGTGAGAATATACTTGGGGTTCTACTAGAGAATAATGGAAAGAATAAGGATACAGTAAGTGCAAGAGTGGATCTACAAAAACTTGGAATAAGGATAGACCTGCATATGAAACCTGATGGGAAGGGTGGATTTACGAAGCCAAAAGCAGAGTATAATCTTAATAGGGAAAACAAGAAAAAATTCTGCGAGTATCTAGCTAATGTGAAATTCCCAGATGGATATGCTACTAATTTAGCAAGATGCGTGGATCTTGAATCATGTAAAGTGCATGGGTTGAAGACCCATGACAGCCACGTACTTCTGCAACAAGTAATGCCAGCTGCGCTAAGAGGACTTGTCAGAAATGATATATATGAAGCCATTGCTGAACTGGGTAACTTTTTCAGGCAGTTGTGCTCGAAAACTCTTAGACTTGATGTGCTTCATCAGATGAAGGAAGATATTCCTATAATTCTATGCAAGCTTGAGAAAATTTTTCCACCTGCCTTCTTTGATGTAATGGTCCATTTAGTTGTTCACCTACCTGATGAGGCAATTCTAAGGGGGCCCGTGCATTATGGCTGGATGTATCCAGTAGAAAGAAGGCTTGGGTACCTAAAGGGAACTGTTCGTAATAGAGCAAAGCCAGAAGGGTCGATTGCAGAGGGCTATATCGTGGATGAGTGCTTAACCTTTTGCTCCAGATATTAGATTAATATTGAGACAAGGTTTAACAAGGAAGATAGGAACAAGGATGGGAAGCGGAGTGTTTCTCCTGATGAATTGGAAGTTTTTTCAGTTGCTGCAAAAGGTTTTGGGTCATCCAAACTCCATTGTTATCAGACTGAGTACGACCAAATGGTTTGGTATGTGCTTACCAATTTTCCTGAAGTAGAGGAGTACATGGAGTAAGTTCACTTGTCAAGTTGTCATCATCATTAATAGTAAAGTATGTGATTGCCTCTTAGCGAAAATTAATTATAATGATATTTTTTGCTTTATTGTTGTAGGGTTTGTCGAGAAGAAATACGAAGGAGAGGTGTCATTAACATTGAGCACACACTTAAGAAAGAATTCCCTACATGGTTCGAAAAGCATGTAAGTTATTTTTTTATGTCTTTGTTATGTCCATCTTGCATATTTTTAATGTTAATAACTGACCATGTAACTACTGTGTGCGCATCTTGCGACCGATATATACTTTAGGAGAAGAACATGTTTCGGCGGATTTGTACTCACTAGCATGTGGGCCAAACAAGCGGATAGTGGTATACTCTGCCTGCAATGTGAATGGTGTTCGGTATCACACCTTTGATCGTGAAAAGAAAAGAAAAACTCAAAATTCAGGAATCATGGTGAAGGCAATTGTCAATAATGTAGAGACTCAGTACTATGGTGTTCTAAAAGAAGTTCTGGAGTTGCGGTACCCCAAAAACAAGCATGGAGAAAGGTCGATCTTTTTGTTTTGTGGTGATTGGTTTGATCTCCATGGCAAGGCGACCGGCATGAAAGATGATGGTTACTTCAAAAGTCTTAATGTTAAGGCGCTTCGATACAAGAAGGATCCTTTTATCTTGGCTTCTCAAGCAGAACAAGTGTTTTACATGGAGGACACAAAATATGGAAAGGACTGGAATGTGGTGCAGACTTTCAGTCATAGACATTTGTACGATGTCCCTGAACTGGAGACAGGCGAGCTCAATGCTACAGATGCATACCAGGAAGAAATGCCCTCGACAACTTCCACTGTGAAGGATATTGATCAGTTGTTGGACACTTATAGCCGTGATGATGAAGAAGGCACGCCTGTTCATGCTAGTATTGTCCATATTTCCAAGTATGTTATTTATTTCGATCTGTTCTACATCCCTCAAAAGCATCATATAGTAATGTATTTGCCATCTCAAATCGGACAAACATCAATTCTAAGTTTAATTATAAAGGAACACATGAAATACTTGTTAGTAGAGCTGCGTGTTTACAACTATCTTACACAATCTAGCTTTTTTGTCTACAAGCAATGATAACCAGGTTCAAGAGATAATTTATTGTAATCATGTAAGTTACAAGTACTCCTTCAAATAAGTTTCAGCGAATTTCAGTCATCTAGGGATGATAATGTAGGCTAGTAGGTCTTTTGGCAATTCATTAAATTCACTCTCTGTCATATTTTCCAGCTTCAGTTATTAAAACATGCCACCAGTTCTGGAGAGTGATATGCATAGCAGGGAATATCTTGTGGAACATAAACGCAAGGGCGAGGCGTATTTGAAGGAAACGGATGCAAGGATTGCGGAACGCAAGGCTGCAGAGCGGGAGCATCTTAAAGGCATACGAAGCTTAGCTCGTAGCCTTGTATACCCTAGTGCCTCTAATGCGCAACCGACGCAAAATGCACGAGGTGCTGATGATCGCAGCGACTCGGAGTATGAACCAGATGCTGAAGAGGAGGCCCATGGAGAGGAAGAGGATTTGATAGATGAAGAGGAGTTCGATGTTGCTAAGTCTAAAGCAATGGTAATATATCATGCAGACTTACATCTTAAATAATATGTACAATGTGGATTCACTGGCTTTAATTTCGCCTTGGTTGTATCATGTGTATGTCGTTGTGCACTATAAGTATCACAAATAGTTGACTCAAAATATTTATTCACATTTTCTGTCAATATAGATGATGATATCTTTGTTCACTGCATTCCTATTTGAAACTATGCTGCCATTGCAAAAGTTACTGTTGATTACCTGCCTTGTTTGACTCACTTGTTTGACCCAGGCACCTGAAGGTTCTACCATGCCAAAAACGAAAAAGCGTGGCAGATCCAAAAATAATGCAGTGGCTACCTCAAGAATAACAAGATGTAGAGCTACCACAACAACTGAGTCAGTTGAAGCTACAAACCATCAAGAACAGTCTGCACCAAATCCAACAAACACATCACCTCACCTAACTTCTAAGGATAGCAACTCGCTTCATGCTGATTCAGGGGTACAAGGTTCCCAAGACATGATAGGCACATCTGAACAATCAGATAACATGATAACATTACAAGGCCAAGGTATATGCGACATCATCGCTTCACCCCCTTCTATTTTCCACTTGAAATTGTAACCTTCTAATTTATCTGCCAGTTTGTAATGTAGATGCGTTAGCATGCTCCACTGGTCCAACTGATCCACGGCCATCAAGGAGAGGTCGTGGACGTAGACCAACCATGGGGCATGGGCTTCAGGAGTATGCAAGCAGAAATGGAGGGAAGAAAATGCGTATTGATTTTACAGCAGGGAAAGTGAGACCTACAGACCCAGTCCAACCAGCAAAGCTTTCTTCTGAGTGTGGTATCCACATCAGGAGCAGAATGCATGTTGCTACGCACTGGAAGGACTATGCAAAAAGCCCACTCAAACATGTTATTCCCCATGCTATTAAAGATATTGCGGTGGGATAGTTTCCTTCAATTTTCATACACGTGTTCACATGTCGCATAGTCAATTTAGTGATATATCGTATATATGATTGTTATTTCAGCTTAACTTTGAGATGGAAAAGGATGACAAGGTTGGGAATGATGTATGCACAAAAGTAATCCAGAAGGGTGTTCGACAACAACACTATAGGCTAAAGAAGAAATACTTCAATGGTTATACTGCTCAGGAAGCATTATCAAATAAGCCAGCAAACATTACTCACGAGAATTGGACCAGCCTTCTCAATAAATGGTCCGATGAAAGAAACAAGGTTTGTAACAATATATGCGACCAAAAATAGTTTTTGCACTCACATCTACTGTACCATATGTAAATACTTATATTAATTTTCTTTATGTAGCAATTATGTCAAATGAATAAGGAAAACCAAGAAGCTGTCAAGCATCACCAAAAGACTGGATCTATGTCTTATGTTGCCTATTTCAGCAAACTTGTAAGAATTCCAAATATCTTATGTGTAGTCCTATGTCTATTGCATCTGGCCAATATATATGTAGTAGTAATGTTACAATTTCATATATCTTGTAGAAAAAAGACAAGTACAATAATCAGGAACCAAGTCCCATTGAGTTTTTCAAAGATACCCATACAAACAGCAAGACTGGTAGCATGAGCGAGCCAGCACTTCTAGCTCATGTAAGATTACTTCCTCTATTGTTTCTGACTTGAAATAGATTCTCATATTGATCAAGTGTAATCTAGCATATGAACTTTGCCTTAGCATCAATGTTTTTCTTTATACTATAGAATGCGATGGAAAAGAAAAGGAAAACACAATCAGAAGGTGAGCAACCAGTATCTGATACAGCGATTGTTGCTGAAGTTCTAAAGGATGAAAGCGCCCATAGCACCTTCCTTTCCAGCATGGGGTATGCATCAAGATCTGGGAGGTCTGGGAGCTCTACTTCATCAGCCCAGATCCGAATTTTAGAAGAAAGAATTGAACAGAAGGATAGAGAGGCAAGAGATGCAAATGATAGGTGATTACCTTATTTCCCTTTCTGTTCTTGTTGTTTCTTTTTGCCTGCTTCTATGTGCACATTGCACTCATTGCAGTGAATGAAAGTTCAACTAAGGAGTGCTTCTTTTCACCTGGGTTGTTGACTTGATATCCTTTTGGTGATGCTTCCTGTAATCAAGCTGTTGGTTTTGCATATATTAAAACATCATAAGTTATTCTTGGGTTTACTGTTTCATTGGCCCATGGGCATGCTTGCCTTGACATTTAATATTGTACTTCTCTATTTCAAATTGGTACCCTTGTACCTTGTTATCTTGTCTGTTTTAACTTCATTACGATGCAATGTTGTTGTGTTTTGTCATTTATAGGCATCGGGAGGAGTTAGCCGCAAGACTTGAAGCACAAGAGAGAGCATTTGAAGAGATACAGAAGAAGCAGCAAGATGAATTGGAAGCTCTAAGGAAGAGCCAGGAAGAGAAGAATGAAGCCTGGGCAAAGAAGCAAAAGGAGACGGATAATCTGCTTGATTTTCTCTCGAGGGCTCAAGCAACTCAGCAGTCCCAGTCCAAACCAGATGGTTCATGAATGCCATCCTTACATTGGAATCATCGGGAGAACATATGTGGTCTATAGTTAATATTAGTTTTCATCTTGTCTATTGTCTATGTCAAACTTGAGTCAATTTTTTACTATCATTTTTGTTTACAGAATGATTTGGCGGAGACAATTTCACATATAATATGATTTGACTTTAATATCAATTTAAGATGTGCTTTTTCTCTTTAAATTTTTTATATAATTTGATGTGAATTAAATATTTATTTTGATCGTAATTTAGATTCAAAAGAAAGTACATATATGTTGATGATGACATCTTCATCCATAATAAAAGTAGTGGCACTAGTAGTGGGATAGCCGCTCGGGTGTTGATGTGGCATAAAGTTAGTGACGTTGCATCGTCACCGAATATGGTACAATATGGCATATTTTCTCCTAACATGTGACATTAATTGACCGTCATGGAAATAGCAAGTCGAGTGACAGTCTATACAACGTCACCGAAGGTCCCAATTTCGATGACGTTTTTGCGCGTGCGCCATCACTAGGAGTAATCTGTGACGGGGAATCCGTGACGATGCTTGTGACGCCCATAAAATGTCATCGGGGGGTAATTCGTGACGTTATTAGCTATTCGATGAAATTTTTTAGCTCGTCATAGTAGGCCCAATCTCTTGTAGTGCACGCAAGATCATGGTGATGCATAGCAACGAGAGGGGAGAGTATGTCCACATACCCTCGTAGACCGTAAGTGGAAGTGTTAGCACAACGCAGTTGATGTAGTTGTACGTCTTCACGATCCGACCGATCAAGTACCGAACGCACGGCACCTTCGAGTTCAGCACACGTTCAGCTCGATGACGTACCTCGAACTCCAATCCAGCCGAGCTTCGAGGGAGAGTTCCGTCAGCACGACGGCGTGGTGACGATGATGATGTTCTACCAACACAGGGCTTCGCCTAAGCACCGCTACGATATTATCGAGGTGGAATATGGTGGAGGGGGGCACCGCACAAGGCTAATAGATCTCAAGGATCAATTGTTGTGTCTAGAGGTGCCCCCATGCCCCCGTATATAAAGGATCAAGGGGGAGGGGGCGGCCGTCCAAGAGGAGGCGTGCCAGGGAGGAGTCCTACTCCCACTGGGAGTAGGACTCCCTCCTTTCCTAGTCCAAGTAGGAGAGGGGAAGGAAGGGAGAGAGGAGAGGAAGGAAAGGGGGGCGCCCCCCCCCCCATCCTGGCCGCCCCTCCTCTTCTCCACTTAGGGCCATGAGGCCCATTAACCCCCCGGGGGGTTCCGGTAACCCCCCAGTACTCCGGTATACATCCGATAACCCCTGGAACCATTCTGGATTCCGAATATAGTCGTCCAATATATCAATCTTCATGTCTTGACCATTTCGAGACTCCTCATCATGTCTGTTATCACATCCGGGACTCCGAACTATCTTCGGTACATCAAAACACCTAAACTCATCATATAACCGACATCTAACTTTAAGCGTGCGGACCCTATGGGTTCGAGAACTATGTAGACATGACCGAGACACGTTTCCGGTCAATAATCAATAGCGGAACCTGGATTCTCATATTGGCTCCTACATATTATACGAAGATCTTTATCGGTCAAACCGTATAACAACATACGTTGCTCCCTTTGTCATCGGTATGTTACTTGCCCGAGATTCGATCGTCGGTATCTCAATACCTAGTTCAATCTCGTTACCGGCAAGTCTCTTTACTCGTTACATAATGCATCATTCCGTAACTAACTCATTAGCTACATTTCTTGCAAGGCTTATAGTGATGTGCATTACCGAGAGGGCCCAGAAATACCTCTCCGACAATAGGAGTGAAAAATCCTAATCTCGAAACACGCTAACTCAACATGTACCTTTGGAGGCACCTGTAGAGCTCCTTTATAATCACCTAGTTACATTGTGACGTTTGGTAGCACACAAAGTGTTCCTCTAGTAAACGGGAGTTGCATAATCTCATAGTTGTAGGAACATGTAAAAGTCATGAAGAAAGCAATAGCAACGTACTAAACGATCAAGTGCTAAGCTAACGGAATGGGTCAAGTCAATCACGTCATTCTTCTAATGATGTGATCCCGTTAATCAAATGACAACTCATGTCTATGGTTAGGAAACACAAGCATCTTTGATCAACGAGCTAGTCAAGTAGAGGCATACTAGTGAAACTATGTTTGTCTATGTATTCACACATGTATTATGTTTCTGGTTAATACAATTCTAGCATGAATAATAAACATTTATCATGATATAAGGAAATAAATAATAACTTTATTATTGCCTCTAGGGCGTATTTCCTTTAGTCTCCCACTTGCACTAGAGTCAATAATCTAGATTACACAGTAATGATTCTAGCGCCCATGGATCCTTGGTGCTGATCATATTTTGCTCGTGGAAGAGGCTTAGTCAACGGGTATGCAACATTCAGATCCGTATGTATCTTGCAAATCTCTATGTCTCCCACCTAGACTTGGTCCCGGATGGAATTGAAGCGTCTCTTGATGTGCTTGGTTCTCTTGTGAAATCTGGATTCCTTTGCCAAGGCAATTGCACCAGTATTGTCATAAAAGATTTTCATTGGTCCCGATGCACTAGGTATGACACCTAGATCGGATATGAACTCCGTCATCCAGACTCCTTCATTTGATGCTTCCGAACAGCTATGTACTCCGCTTCACATGTAGATCCCGCCACGACGCTCTGTTTAGAACTGCACCAACTGAGAGCTCCACCGTTCAATATAAACACGTATCCGGTTTGCAATTTAGAATCTTCCGGATCAGTGTCAAAGCTTGCATCGACGTAACCATTTACGACTAGCTCTTTATCACCTCCATGAACGAGAAACATATCCTTAGTCCTTTTCACGTATTTTAGGATATTCGTGACCGCTGTCCAGTGATCCACTCCTGGATTACTTTGGTACCTCCCTGCTAAATTACTGCTAAGCATACATCAGGTCTGGTACACAGCATTGCATACATGATAGAGCCTATGGCTGAAGCATAGGGAACATCTTTCATTTTCTCTCTATCTTCTGTTGTGGTCGGGCATTGAGTCTGACTCAACTTCACACCTTGTAACACAGGCAAGAACCCTTTCTTTGCTTGATCCATTTTGAACTTTTTTAAAACTTTATCAAGGTATGTGCTTTGTGAAATCCAATTAAGCATCTTGATCTATCTCTATAGATCTTGATGCCTAATATATAAGCAGCTTCACCGAGGTCTTTCATTGAAAAACTTTTATTCAAGTATCCTTTTATGCTATCCAGAAATTCTATATCATTTTCAGTCAACAATATGTCGTCTACATATAATATCAGAAATGCTACAGAGCTCCCACTCACTTTCTTGTAAATACAAGCTTCTCCAAAAGTATGTATAAAACCATATGCTTTGATCACACTATCAAAGCGTTTATTCCAACTCCAAGAGGCTTGCACCAGTCCATAAATGGATCGCTGGAGCTTGCACACTTTGTTAGCACCTTTTGGATCGACAAAACCTTCTGGTTGCATCATATACAACTCTTCTTCTAGAAATCCATTCAGGAATGCAGTTTTAACATCCATTTGCCATATTTCATAATAATAAAACGCGGCAATTGCTAACATGATTCGGACAGACTTAAGCATCGCTATGGATGAGAAAGTCTCATCGTAGTCAACCCCTTGAACTTGTCGAAAACCTTTTGCAACAAGTCGAGCTTTGTAGACAGTAACATTACCATCAGCGTCAGTCTTCTTCTTGAAGATCCATTTATTCTCGATGGCTTGCCGATCATCGGGCAAGTCAACTAAAGTCCATACTTTGTTCTCATACATGGATCCCATCTCAGATTTCATGGCCTCAAGCCATTTTGTGGAATCTGGGCTCATCATCGCTTCCTCATAGTTCGTAGGTTTGCCATGGTCAAGTAACATGACTTCCAGAATAGGATTACCGTACCACTCTGGTGGGGATCTTACTCTGGTTGACCTACGAGGTTTGGTAGTAACTTGATCTAAAGTTTCATGATCAATATCATTAGCTTCCTCACTAATTGGCGTAGTTGTCACAGGAACTGGTTTCTGTGATGAACTACTTTCCAATAAGGGAGCAGGTATAGTTACTTCATCAAGTTCTACTTTCCTCCCACTCACTTCTTTCGAGAGAAACTCCTTCTCTAGAAAGGATCCAAATTTAGCAACAAAAGTCTTGCCTTCAGATCTGTGATAGAAGGTGTACCCAATAGTCTCCTTTGGGTATCCTATGAAGACACATTTCTCCGATTTGGGTTCGAGCTTATCAGGTTAAAGTTTTTTTCACATAAGCATCGCAGCCCCAAACTTTAAGAAATGATAACTTTGGTTTCTTGCCAAACCACAGTTCATAAGGCGTCGTCTCAACGGATTTTGATGGTGCCCTATTTAACGTGAATGCGGTCGTC